TTCCGGCGAGGGGAGGGAAGCTCGTGTTCTCTCTCGCCAGCAGCTGCGAGAAACCTTTCTTCCTCGTTGCTTCGTTCTCTTTCCTGAAGAGAAAAGCCTCTCCTTTTGGGGCGACCTGGACGCTTTGGGGGGATGCTCCCAGCACACGTGCGGTGCAGGGCCGGCTGCACCCACCGCGTGCTTCCCCGGCATTCCCGCTTTATATTCCCTGCTTTCCATCCTTTCCCCCCCCCCCCCACCTTTTCCCCTTTGATTTGCACCTTTCGGAGCAGAGCCCAGGCGAGGGAAAGGGGCCTTTCCCCGCTTTCCCCAGGCCGGGGCTGGGGCCGCTCCCGCCGCCTTCCCCGCGGGGGAACAACCGCCCGGGTTCGCTCCCTGGTTTATTTGTGTTTGGAAGGGCTCCACGGCTCCTTTCCCCTCTAAAAATAATGAAATATGGGACAAGCTTTGCTCTGTTTGTTTAAGTAGCATTCTCTGGCTTATTCTCTGCGGCTACAAGTGCAGTTATTTTATTATTCTTATTTGCAACCGTTTACTGTTGGCTGTTTCTCCTCAAGTAGCTGTTGGAGCTGGCGTGCACATGGAAAGGGTTTGGGAGATGCCAAACTACACCCACATACGCGCCCCCCTCCCCGGTAGCCGCTCGCCCCCGGACTTTTCCCTTCCTCACCTCCAACTTTCAGAGGGCTCCGGTGTTATCGCGCCCCGCGAGCGCTGGGAGCGAGGGTGGATTTGCTGAAAACTTCCTCGAAATGCCCAAAAAAAAAAAAAAATTACCGAGAGACAGAAAAGAGTGAAGGATTTTTTTTTTTCCGGATGGGGGGGGACGGACGACGGGACAGAGCGGCGAGAAGAGGGTGGGGGCAGGAGGAGGAGGAGGGTGGGCAGAGCAGATCTAAACCATGCCATTTATTCCGAGTCTTATCAAAAATCCGCCTCACCAATCTGGTTCTCTTCAGCCTGCAGAATGCGACAGGGAGGCTGTTTACCCTGCGCTGACCTATTCAACTTTACCCTCCCAATAATACATTAAAAAAAAAAAAAAAAAAAAAAAAAGGGAGCGAAGGAAGATGCAGATAAACCCACATCCCCGCTCCTCGCTGACGGGTTGATTATTTGAGCTCCGGGGGGCTGCGGCCCTCGGCCGTGGCAGAGCGGCGAGGGGTGAGGAAGAGGATGGGAAAGGGCAGGGGAAGGAGCCTGGATGCGACCAGAAGCGGGGACAAGGGCCACAGCCCCACGCACACCCCCCCGGGGCCGCCTTCGCTGGGTTTCGGTCCTGCTCGCCCGCGTTTCATCCCTTTTTTTGGGGGGCTATACCCCTTAAGAGAATATATTTGGGGGGATCCCCCCCCAGCCCCCCAATAAAAGGCCTCTGTGAGCACTAGCAAACATAGAGCTGGGTTTAAATCCCCACCTCTGGGCTGCCTTTGAGGGCGGGAGGGGGGAACTGGGGGTGGTGCGAGGTTAGGGGAGCCAGGGATTTATTTTAAGGGGTGTGGGGGGGAGCAGGATATTCCCAGGCGCTGAATTTTCTCTTTGGT